TTTTGCTTTCTGGAACTGGCTTTGGATTTACAAGGAAAGAAGGAAGTATGTTTTTGTCAGCTGGCACTTTTGTTCCATGAAGGTGGTACATCAAGGATAGTAAAAAGGTTGGATGTTTTTGTTTATTATGATACCGAGAACTGAATGTTTGAATATGTATAAAGCACATCCAGTATTTTCAGATGTTGGCTTTTCAAAGTTTTAGTTTGCATCTTATTTAAATTCTCTTACAAGTTGGTTTTTAGCAGTAATAGATTTTTGTCTTTGAATTAGGATTTATAGGAAGTACACTTGAAGTTGTTTGTTTTTGTCGGTTATTTCCTACTGCTTTGATCTGCCTTTCAGACTTGTCATTAAACCATCTCCCTTCCTTTTATAACATGATGTCTGCCAATAGAGAAAGGAGTGGGAGGTCTGAGGGAGCTTTTAGGAGACCGTCACAAACGTCATTTAAAAAACCCTTATAAAAGTTATCTTATGGTATATTGAATTAAAGGGAAAAACATAACGAGGATTACTAAAGCTCCCATCTTTATAAAGCATAAGCTGCTGGACTTAAAACCAGTGCAGTTCTTTTCTGTACCTCACCCAGTAAAACGCTGTGAAATCTAATGACTCTTGCAATTTAGTTAAGAAATCAGTGAGTGAAAAAAATGTAGTCAAAATAAAGGGAAGAGCCTTATGGTCAAATTCCATTTCATTTGTTTTTCCTTACCCCTTTCTGTATACATTAATGATGTACAGTGGCGGATACAATGGGCAGTGTTCTTTTTTGCTATTGCTTGCTCTGCATGTTAGCTGCAGTGCAGTTACTGTACAAGGCAGTGAGATAGATGCTTTTTTTCTGCTTAGGTTTAAGTATCTGTTTTAAAAGCTGAAAAACCTGCTTTGTATAACATGATCTTGTTTTTCTTTGATACAGTAAGAGAATGCAAATAAAATGTCAGGCATGTCCTTGGCAGAAATAATTTAGTGTTTTTAAGGAAAGCTGGAGGTTCTTGAAGATTTGCATCTGGAGTTTTAGGATTTCAATGCATTTAGGAAGTCTAACAAATCAAACCTCAGACCAATTTTGCAGGTTTTAGGTTTTGTTGATGTATACTATGCATAAAATAGTGTTTTAGGATCCTTTTTATAGTTGCTGATGTTCTTATTCAGCAGATATCTTGCAAGAAACTAAAGCTTCTTTCCACCTACCTTCATTATTATTTTTAAGCATTTTTCATTGGATGTCAGAAAGCTGGTGTAATGTTTGCAGCTTTGTAAAGTATCCATAGAGCTTGTTTTCTTCAAATAATTAACTGACAAGGAAGAAACTATGAACTAATTCCAATAAAAAATTACAAGAGAATGGTTACTGATTTCTATCCAAAAGATGAATAAAAGAAATCTGCATGATCTAATTCTGACTATATGAACCTGACAGTTTGTAGATTTCCAAATCCAGGGTGTTTCTGCATGTTTGTTTTTAAGCTGCAGAGCTGCAGCTGAATAACACCTCAAAGAAACAACGTGGTTAATGAATATTCAAAAGGACAAACTCAAGGTTTTGGAATTGAGTATGCAGAGTTGGCATTTTATGGTTTTGTGGTTTGCTTCTAATCCAATATATTGCCTCTGATTAGTTGAATGGCTTTTAAGTGAACATTTGCAAAAGTTTGAATGCCTCAACATGAGGGGAACTCACACAAAAAGCCATTGATTTAACTGGCAGAGAAGTGTTTTGTAATTTCACTAGCTTACAGCCTTACATTTGTGTCTGGAGTTCTGTTTCTTCATAGGAGATCTACTTTCAAACTTAAGTTTCACAACTGTATACTGTAAACTTGGAAAGTGCCTCATCTGCATTCATCTTTGACACTGGGAGAATTTATGTAAAACATTTGTAAAAAGCTCCTTAAAAATAGTAGATTTTATTTTGTCTCTTAATTTTATATCAAAATGTCCAACTCAGAATTGCATTTGAGACTGGGATTAATTAGGGATGATAAGTATCGGCTTTATTCAAGCAGAGTCTGCATATGCTAGAAAAGAATGAAAGAAGCTATTTATTTTGTGAGGTGAAAAGGTAAAGGCTGGTTGAATTTCATCTCAAATTCTTTAAACGCCTATTTATTTTTTTAGGTCAATTTAAAATTTTTCCTGAAAATTGATTTGCCTCAATTAAAAATTTAGTTCATGGCGATTCTAATTTACGTTTGATAGGCAAGATGCAGCCCTCAATAAAGTAAACCTGTTGAATTTAATGCAATATACTGTATTCCATCACTTGCACAATGTTACACTAGTGTGGTTCAACACCAAAAAGGTCAGGGATAGCCGTACAAAGTTTGATCAAGGTAGCTCTGATTGTAGTGACTGGAATTGCTATTGGAATATCAGTGAAGGTATAAATTTGTATTTCATTGCCTTTTGTTTTATTACATTGTGAAATTGTCAGCTTTTTTTGTAAACTATCTTAATACAGCTGTGAAATTAGTCTTGCTGCTGACGGGTTCATGGCTCTTTCAACAAGGCAGTTAGAATGAGGATTGGAACAAATGCATTCTGGACTAGTTTATTGATTTGGTGGCTTGAAGTATAGTAGAGACTTATGCTTGATCTGAAGCTGACCTAAAATTTTTGTTTTTTCCTGCATACAGTATATAGAAGGAGAACTGTTGGGGAAAAAAACTCATTGCCACCTTGGGCATTAAAATAGAAGTGAAACCAGAAATTTAAGCCATTTTTTCCACAGATATCAGAGAAAAACGTCTCCCTCCGGCTGTCAGAGCATTCGATTAGGTAAAAGCTTCACAGATGTTTGCATTGCTTTAATCTGTTAAAAATCCCTATTCCTTATATTGACCGATGCTTTTAATTAAGTTTCTGTGGACTCCAAAGCCTAAGTGTTTCTTCAGTGCATCAAAGAATGAAGTGTGACTCTTAGACCTGAGATCCTGATGTGACAGCAGTGCTGTTTTCTGAGCACTATGTTAGAGGACTGCTTTTCCAAAGCTTTTTGTACATCTTGGAAAGATATTGTATGAAGATTATTGCATTGTACACTGGACAGCCAATGAATGCACTTCTATATTTCTGACCTTTTGCATTGCAAAATCCCTCTTGTCTGCACTTACTCCTATACTCATCATCAATCTTTGTTGTTTTTAACTTAGGGCAGGCATGTCAACATCAGCAAATTCACAGTGGAAAACCTAGCTTCTGCCTTACAAATCTTTGCTGTTTTACTTTTTATTAGTTCTCTATAATCACTTATGTTCCTAAAAATATTAATTGTAAGTCTGATAATTTACTGTTAGAGATGCAATATAGTATGCATTTCTTATAATAGCACTGTTTTAAGTGGAATTTAATACATTCTAGATATTCTTTATAAAAATGGGTAGAAATTTTTGTCCTGTTTTTTTTTTTCATTTAACTGCCTTTGCTTGTAATCAAACACTAGCCTTACCACACTCACCCAGTCCTAGGGGATATAGTTCCAAGAAGGCTGAGAGTTGTTAAAAGAGGAAAAGATGTTTCAGAGACTAAAGCACTGTCCTGTCTCCCCTCAACAAGGTACTGTAGAACTTGTTAATTGCACAGAGTCCTTTCTACATGCTTTCATTTGCATGAAAGCCACCTGTACAAGACACTTAGATCCCACCCTCTGCATTTGGCATCAAGTGAAAATTAACACATTTTATGAGTGCTGGCAGTGCAGCATGCACAGGTTGAACTGTCATGGTCCAAAGTTCACAGGAGTTCTCCCCGGCAGTTTGAGGCTGGAATGCAGAACCTCTCTTCCTGTCCCCCAGACATCTGCTCAACCTGCTAAGTCCAACAGTCATTTCTGAGCCAAAAAATGCCTCGTGCTCTGAGCTGATGCCAGGTTTAGATTAGATGTGCATCAAGAATTGGGCATTTTGTGTTGCTGACTCCTACTCAGCACAGCTGCCCGTCTTCCTTCCTCTTAGTTTTGTTTACAAAAATTGAAGAAAATGAAATATCGGCATCTCTCTTCTGTTTCCACACAACTCTTTGTAAAACACTTTGAGTTGTATACTGCCTAATTTTAAACTCTCTTAACTCTCAAAGTGCCATTTGACCTGAAATTCTTAGCAATGCAGATCAAAAAACAGATCTCCAACCTCCCCTCCCCTCACTGCATCGGGGTGGTTTATAAAGCAAAGCAAAATAAAGCGCGCAGGTATAGCCTTTCACTGCAGCTTTAGTAAACCTTTGAGGAGGTGGTCATGTGACAGTGCTGCAATTTCAAAACAATCCCAACAGCAAGATCCCTTCCCCACCACCCCCTCTTGAAACTGCAGGGCACCATCTGGCTGAGCTTGGGTTTTGCTTCCAATCTTTAATGCGACACAGCTTAGCCTCCCTTGAAGAGCCTCACAATGGATCGTGGATAATTGAGTCTCGTAGAGCATTTCAGAACTCGTCTGAAGCAGCAACATGACTGAGCAAAACAGTCCTTAATATAGTTTAGTTTGTTCAGAAAACAATCAGGGGAGTTGAATAATAAATGGTCTTATAAGGGAAGTCACGTGTATTTGTTGACCTCTTCCTGATTGGAAATTGAATTAACAACTGGACTTGACGTGGGTTATTTCCATTAAGATTCTTCTGTGAAACTTTCTTTGTGCAGTTAAAACTCCATTACATTGCAGTATTTAAAGGAGATGGACAGAGTGATTCTGTCAAAAACTGGTTAGAGCATTTTTTTTTTCCATTGACAAATATCACGGCATTTATTTTCAATGCGTGTATAAGTCTGAATTTACATTACAGCTTCTGTGTCTTTGAAGAAGTTTCTCTTTTTTCCCCAAAAAGGTCTTTGACCAGTTTGGAAGTGTACCATTAGTTTCTAAATTTTGACTTCAGCAGAAATTATGTACTTTCATGCACCCCACCCCTCAGAACTAATGCATTAGGACTGTTGGGACTAAATCATTTTTTTCTGTCTCTTCTGATCCCCCTCCCCCTCGCCCCTGTGCTCCCTGCAGGTGAAGAGACAAGTCTGAGAAGAGCTGTGAAGCATGAGTGCAGATGCAAGTCAGGAGGTAGTGACCACCCCTCCTCCACCCAGCATGGCCCAGAAGGAGAGATACTTCGACCGTATCAATGAGAACGACCCAGAGTACCTCCGTGCCAGAAACATGTCACCAGACCTACGGCAAGATTTCAATATGATGGAACAGAAAAAAAGAGTCACTCAGATTCTGCAGAGTCCGGTGAGTTTCTGCATCTTGTTTTGTTGTTTAATTGGACCTGTTGTATGTTAGAATTTTTGCTTTTTTTAAAACAAACTTCTGACGGAGAACTCCTTGCTGTTCGTCTTCTGACACGGTTCCCCTGCAGGCATTCATCTGTCAGTGCCTGTGACAATAGCAGATTGGAGCTGTGTGCTTTCGAAAAATATGCCTCCCATCCAAAGCTTTGGAAGGGAACAAAACAAGAACTGGAAAGGTATATTGGAGAGCAGAGTCTTGCATTTCTAAAAGGTTAATATGACCTGAATTCCACACAAGTTTGGGCAGTTTTGAAGTAGTCGGGTATAACCCTGAGGAAAGAAGTTTGACCTTTTGGAGTGTCATGCAAATCATAATGGTTTACTGATACTAATAATGTTTACCCTGCAACCACAGTCTTTCAACGTGGATGGAAAGATGTTACCTCTATTCCTTTATTTTGCATTTAATTGATACTGCTGTCTCAACTAAATAACAGGGGGTTAATCCCAATTAAAATATTTTTAATTTTGTTAGACATGACAGATTAGTGTCTCAAGTTTTTTTTTCTGAGAACTTTATTTAAATTCATGTATTTTGAGGAGTAGACAACGATTCTTCATTTAGTTCTAGATTTATTGATACTTTAAAGCAAAGGGAACAATGTGAGAATCTGCACTAACAGGCAATTATAGCATTGGTTCTGTGGGGATGTATTCTGTAGTACTATTTCTTACATATAGGTTGTGTATGTGGGCTTTGTTGGGGTATCAGTTATAGTATTACTGATATTTACCACAGGATGTAATGACAAATATCAGTTTTACAGAAAGGAGTTTTATTTTAAAATTGCTGTATAGTTACAGGGGAAAAAATGTCTATACAACAGTTCATTAGTTTCAGAACTTCTGCAAATTAACTACTGGGTGTAAGACTAATAGGAGTAGCTACATCTGCTGGGATGGGCCAAGCTTTGGCTCACATGAATATTAATAAGCAAAATGGGCAAGATCACTGAAGAGCTCTGCGCACACAGAGTAGCAGCAGAGCAGTTACAAAGGGCCCTGACTATATTGTAACCATAAACACATTGCATGTATTATGGCTAAGAGCTTGCGTACCTTTTTTCGATTCTTTTTGCCTTTACCACAGTTAGCAAAGGGATGCACACCTGGCCTGTATCCGTGTCACACACAGACAGACATCCTGTTTGGAGTAGTTAAAATAATGGCCAGGACAAAAAAATCATCCCTAAAACAGAGTTAAATCAGATGTTATACTGTACAGCTTATTTAAAAGGCAGTGGAATGCCGAAGTATACTTTTATTTTTGCATTATAGTCCATCCATTTGTGATGATTAGATTAATATGAATGGTAATCACAATATAATGCTAATTTTGTTTTTCAGTAATTCAATGCATACAATTGCTTATAGAACAAAAGCTTTGTGTTCAGCCAGATGATTTTCTTAATTAAATTGTTTATATAGCTCAATTTACAGAAACAATCTGGACAAAGATGCATTATGCTTCACAGCAGTAGTACCCACAAATATCATCCTTAAAATTATGTCCATTATCAAGTGGACAGTCGTTTAAATATCCTGTTATACCATGGTGGTCTCACTTCGATCGGTGTGCGGAAGCTTTGCAGAGAGAAGACTTAGCGTGGAAAAGAAACACACACAGCAGTTTAGGACTTCAAGAACATTTTTGTTGAACCAGCAGGAAGAACCAGTATTCCGATTGCTGGTGCCAGCAAAAAATATTGTGTGCCAGGGAGATAGAATTTAACTTAATAAGTGTTGGTTTACTTACAGTCAACATCTTTAATAAAGTATAAAGAAATGAACAGTTGGCATAATATGGCTTTCATGTATGCCAGGTGGCAAACTATACCCTAGTCATTTCCTAGCGTCACCATCTACCCGGACTCATTGGACTCGTTCAGTGTTTCCACACACATACAGTAGTACTTAAAAGGTTTGCTGAAAAAGCACATTCAGTATCCTACTTAATTGCCTCTACAGGATCGCCAATCCTTTCCAATTCTTTTTAAATCAGGACCCAAGGAAAGGGGGTAAATTGGTGAATTTAAGGCTTAATTGGCTTAATTAAACTAGTTACTTTATTCTAAATGGTCTTTATGCTGTGGTAGATGAATAGAAATCAAACAAACCTGCTAGACTGAAGCCTATGAAGCAGATCTGGGACTTAATTGGGCTATCTGGGAACTCATTACATGATTATAGGATAAAACCTAAACAATATAGGAGTTTTTTTCAAGTTTAGACATATTTTTCAAAAGTACTACCACCTTCTAGCCAGAGCTCATCAAATCAGTGTGGTGCAGTGGGTCTGTGGCTAAGGATCTGGGCCACAGTGGCTGGAAGGTTGCCGGTTTGTATCCCGCGGCCGGCAGAGGAATCCTTCTCTGTTGGGCCCAAAGAGCAAGGCCCTTATCCCCAGCTGCCCCCTCTGCTCTGACCCCAAGCTCCTCTCCCTGTCTGTGTGTCTCATGGAGAGCAAGTCGGCGTATGCGAAAAGACAAATTCCTAATACAAGAAATTGTATATGGCCAATAAAGTGATCTTATTTTATCAGATCACCAAAGCTTACCTCTGGTTGGTACCAAGATCGAAACTGTAAGGAAACACATCTAGGTGCTGAAAGTGGTGTTGGTGAACCAGTAGGTGATGCTCTTTTCTCTGACCAGAATTTTCAAATCCCTGAATGGTGAATGGAGCAACTGTAATGTAGCATGAGCCATCCTTTAGATTATACTTGAAATCGAGGTCCGGACTACTTGATGGTTAGGTATCCAATGGTGCTGTTAGTAACAGTACAGAGTTGTTAACCCTAGTGTCCTGGCTAAATTAGACTCTGGGATTACTTGCACAGTCTAGCCTGCTTAACGTTCTTCCTTAATTCAACTGTTGAAGCAGTTTTTGCACTTCTCTACCTGTTTGCATTTAAATGAAATGGGTTTTAAATTGGATTTTGGGAGATTCTTTGAAATTTGCTTTAGTTTTATGGATTCTATAAATTCTGTCTCCCAAGCCATTTTCTCATTAAGCAAGTCATGGATTTTATTCCATAGCTGAGAGGCCTGCGTGTAGTCTCAGAAAATCTGTTTCCTGTCACAGTTAAAAGTAGCCTAATTGAAGTTCTTCATAATGTATTGATGCATTAAGCAATTTTAAAGGTTAATAAGCATTAATGAGCCCTGCTGGGGGCATTATCCTCTAAAGTAAGTGACCTTGCCATCCATTAGTTGTTTTTTGTTTCTTGTGGTTCCTTAGCTTGGGTATTATATTCACTTCTGAAGATTTTGATGTTTAACTGAGTATACAGTGGCTGGGAATTTTGACCATTTAGTGATGTATACAGTAGGAGCATTAGGGGGATGTCCTTTGAAATAAACCATAATCATATTAGATTTTCCTCTAAATTAAACACTTGTTTCTGCCATCAGCAAAAGTAAGCATTACTTTCTCAAGAGGAGCAGGTTTACATAGTCTGTCAGTGCTCTTTTGATAACATTTCTTTCTGAAAGAAGGGAGTGACTTTTAAAGTGCAATTTTAAAGTAATCGCTTGAATGACAGTCTAGAAAAAGACTGGTTTGTTCTTTAGTTAGAAATGCCTTGTTGTATGCAAGGAATGTTAAAACATGTTCTACAGTAACTTGCCTTTCAGCCATCATATCTATCTATGATAGAATCGATTACAAAAACCTAAGCCATCAACAGCTACTTTTGCAAAAAATGCTTGCATTGGGTTTTATGTGCTTCAGATGTATTCTGTTAGGCATTTTCCCTCAGCATTGGCTTTAGAAACATCAAGCCATTACATATTTCCCTGGCCTGCATGTGTAGTATAGTCCTTCTCCATCCCATGAATAAAATCAGACCAAATCTAATCTGTTTGCAATGCATAGTCTCTTCTGCATTCTGAAAAAATGCAATTTCCAAAAGACTGTCCATGGAGATTAACAGATACATTTGTATGCTGACAGCATGTGGATTACCCCCAGCAGATTGTTTGTGTTTATTTACACAGCTGTTATTGGGTGTGGATGATAGGCAACATGTAATAGAAGAAGGAGCCATGTTACTTCAAGCCATGTCTTCTAAACCTACGCATCAAAGCAGCTAGTCCTGCCTATCGGAGAACTGATAATGCAGTAAACGGTTGTGAAATAGCTCTTAGGGGATGAGGAAACCTTTGGTGTACCTCCACAGCTGAGAGCAATTGCAAAGGTTTGGGCCACAGTAGATCTCCATGGCAACAGTTGTGAATGTAGGGGAATGTTTGACCTCGTCTATAAAGTGCTGCACAGTGAGCAGAGTAATGTTAAAAATCTTGCGTTTCATTTAACTGTTTTTTGTGGGCATAAACTGACAGGTACCTAGAAAAGATGTGCAACCCAGATTGAAATTCACATGAAAGATACAAAGGCAGGGGTCGAGGGGTTTAAAATGACAGAAACCGACAATACTGAGGTCAGATCTTGTGAGTTAAGCTTCAAGTAACCATAAAAAGACTGTTAGCAGCAATTAGAAAGAGAGCAGATAATAAATAATGATGGAATGTTAAGTATCCTTGCTTTAAAAGTTGTCATAGGGTTGTACTTTTATTGGTTAGAATAAAAAAAACTTAAAGATATGACGGATAGATGATATAACTTATTCCAAATGGCCCATTTTCTATAGCCTTCGATGGGCTGGTGAATGTTGGAGAGTCTTGCTTTATGTCTTTTTCCAGAATAGGACAGGTTAGTCTCTGATTTGCCAGTACACTTTGCAATAATGGGTGAATGGGACTCCCAAGTATTGAGCAACATTTTAGTTCAAAGGCTTGCAGTATTGATGCTGGATTCGTGGCTATCTTTAAATTAAGACACTTGCTACCAGTAATTACATTAATATTGGTAGTATTAGTAGAAAATGTTTTTCATGCAGTGTTTTATTTCCATTTTCTTTTATTATGTCTAATAGAATAAATGGGAATAATATATTTGTGGATTCCAGCATGTTGAGGGATATAATGCATAATTCTTCATTTATTTCTGCAAGGTTCTCGGCTGTGGAAGAGGCTGCAGTACAGCTCAATGGGAGGAAGCAAAGTACAAGAACACAAAGGGTGTGGAGGGCTGAGGGCCGTGCAAGTGTGAGGATTGATTCAAACAGAAAAAGAAAAACAGTCTCTCCCTGGTGTGCCATAAAACCGTTGAAGAAATAGTGATTCTCACTCCACCCCTAATAAATTAACAGTCTAGAAAGTTAGTCAACAAAGATGTGAGGTGAAAAAGTATTATCAGCTGTGTTGTATGTACGTAGCAGTTGGAGCAGTAGAACATGAGTATGTAATGGTTACACCTACGCAGGACTCTTTGATGTTTTGCATTAAGAGAGTCTCCACCAGAGAGCAAGGTAGTATTAGAGGATCTGATGATGTGTGTTTTCCAAACATAGCTAGATGAACTGGTGAAATTCAGTTTGTCACATCTGTTAAAGTACTTTATTTCAATAAGAGATGGATGTATATGAGTAAGCAACTGCTGTGACACACACCTTTCATTTGGGGCAAGACTCCCACACAAATTGTTCTAGCCTAGAAAGATTATACTGTAGGTATCGTCATCAGAACCGCTAAATTATTGTTTAATATTGCTCGTACACTTTTAATGCTGTCAGCAGGATTCCTGAAAATTCTTCACACTGAAAGGCTGTGATATATGTTGTGCCATTACAGCGTATGATCAAAGGGGTGCAAAATTAAACTTATTTGAGTCCTTTTTCAAAAGGTGTACTGCAGATCCAAGGAGACAGTAATAGTCTTAATGAATAGATGTTGCAGATCTAAATGCTACATATATTAAAGCAAAGGGAAACTCTCAAAAAACCTTTTAGTTAAAGTGCGTAAGACTGTTCCAGATAACCAGTCTGCAAGCGCTGAAGCACAGTTTTGACTGAACCTGACTGACCTAGGACAGTTTTTACAAGGGGAATCTTACAGCAAGATAAACAACTGAGCAAATTCTCCAAGCTATAAATCCTCTAAATTACCAACCTCAGATCCCCCACATTATACAATAGAACCTAAGAAATATTGCAAAAGGCAATAAAAGTAAGATTAATCAGCAGTATTTATCTGCCTAGTTTATTCCATAAAGCCTACAAAGCTTGTGAGCCTGTTGTTTGAGGTGATACTGATGGGACTCTAAGATTGATCAAGGACAAAAGCAGCCAAATGAACAGGAAAACCAAAAGGAAATTCTTACACAAATTGTTTAGACAGTGCAGCTAAGATTAGGGCATAAAATGTCACTTTGCCAATATAATTAAATGAGCATGGCTAATTTTAAGTGACCTGGCACTTCATTATCCTGGATTACTGTATCCTCTTGTGTCGGTGTTTGGATTATTGAATTACAGGGAGGCATTTCTGAAGGCACAGGCTAATGTTCTCTTTAGTGTGAGGAGCCACTGGTGGTTATATTTTACCCAGTAAAGGTCTCATCACAATGTAGCTGTTCATAAAGTACTCTAAGCTGCTGTAGGCGAGGTGTGGGAAAGACGGATGGTGAAGGCTATGTCAGGGCAGGGATTAAAACCATCTGACACGGTGTCTCTGCGGTGAGTGCATCCCTCTGACTCAGAAGGGCTGTGACGCCAAGAAAACAGGTTTTAATCTGTTGCGCTTCTCGGCTTCCTCTCCAGGCCTTCAAAGACGAGCTGGAGGGACTCATCCAGGAGCAGCTGAGAAAAGGAAACAACCCCACAGGGCTCCTGGCTTTGCGGCAGATAGCAGACTTCTTCATGGCGAGCTCCATCGCAGGCTTCTCCACGTCTCCCCTCAGTAAGTGCCAGTGTGTGTGACCCAGGTGAGCAGCGCTGAGCACATGCAGAGCTGCTGGGAGCTTCACACAGGCTGAGTCACTAAGGTTTCACAAGCATTGTTTTCCTCCCAACAGATAAAAGTGTCTTTGAACAAGATATCTGTTAATAAACAGCACTGGCCACATCCGTTTTTTAATATATACCAGGTTTGGAAATCCCCTCTCTGCCTATTAAATGTGTAAGTTTCTCCTACCATGCTGCGTTTGTAATTTATTTAATAGTTTATTGTGTTGGAACTATTCAAACAACTGACCACTTGACAAATCATTTAAAAGTAAATGTAGTATGTTGTGGCATGCCTCATATCAATTCGCTTTTGGATTTTGATCAGAATGGAATTTTGTTCATTTTGTACACATATGCATACATACAAATAGCTATATATTGGTGACTGGGTATCCCACTTGGTAGACCCCTTGGCAGAATACTGGTGATGTACCATTATGGAGCCTTTACCTGCCAGCAAGCCTATGGCCATTTTCCTCATTGATGAGACCTTCATCCTGCAGTAGGATTGAATATGGCTGGATCTTTGTAATAGATACACTGCATAATGCATTTTTTGCAGATGTTTTAATGAACAATTGATTTGTTTTCTGTGTGGAATTCAGCAATGTAATTGGATTCCAGAGAGCCTGAGTAAAATGCTGATGCTATAGAACAAGCTGCTCAGTCAGGCTGAAATAAGTGTCAGTGCTTTGTCTGTTAGAGCACAGGACATCCAAATGAGTGCTAAACAGAACCTGCAGATTCTAAACTGCAAATTAACCTTTGTGAATCCCATTTGCTTTATCAAGTGATTATGCAGGAAAAAAGCATTTGCTTTGTTTGGTTGTTTCCTACACAGAAATGCACATACCCAGTGTGTCACCAAGTGAATTCTGACATTGGATTGACTCTACTGCAAAGACAGGTGACACTAGTAGGAAGATATTTCTGCTCCCGACAATCCCTAATGTACTGGGCTTTGTAATTTTTGTATATATTTTGGGTAGCCTCAGGTATGTGCTCTCACACCACACAAAATATACCTTCTAGACCTTCTATTGTCAGATTTGCAGTGTCCTCCCAAAGTATTGGGACAACAATAGCAAAACTAGTTTTCCTTTTTTATTTCTGAAGCAGTGTATGTTTGTAATCATCTTAAACTTGCTAAACCAGTCTCCAGACTCTCCAACCCTCAAATCAAAGCAGCAAAGCATCTCAGACAATTACACAAAAAGGAGGGAGAGCTGAAATGGTCACAAACTTCATCCAGTTATAGCCTTACAAGCATATGTAACCAAAATATTGACTTTTACACTCTGAGATTTACTTAATGTGAGTGTGTTGAGATACATCTCTCGAACACTCTGGGTTGAACTCAGAGTGTGTTTTTGTTTTAATACAATGAAAGTATATGCACGTGATTACCAAAAATAAAATGTATATTAATGTTATCAATTTACTTATCCCTATTAATCTCATGACCTTGTTATAAGGTGGGGTGTTAAAAGCTGAGCACAGAGTACCTTCTTGACACCACTTTATTGTATGTCTCCTGACAAGTCAGATGTCTCAGGCACACCTGCGGGCTTTGTGTTGGCAGTGCTCACCTCTTAATATGTAACTAACACCATCTGGACCTTGTGGTTCCCTTGGATTAAGAGGAAGTATGTACATACTTTCTGGAAAAGGTGGCTGGTGTTTTTCTTTTATTTCTCTAGATGTAGTCTAGTCGATCTCATTGCAACAGAAAAAAAAATTAAACTTTACATACTGTATGTATAAATGAACATCAAGTTTGCAGAGAAATAATAGTTACGGCATTTTTATTCCATCAGGTTTGAGACTTCTGAGGTGTTCAGTGGCTTATTTAACAGTGTAAAGCAAATGCCAAAACAAACATACACCGAATGAGAATCTTATACAATTTAGTATTTATTTAACCTTTTCATGGATGGTGTCAGTGAGGGAATGTGAGACCCCCTCAGGGAATTGTTTGTCTTCAAGACTACATGGGACTACAGGGTACTGCAGAGGTGAAACAGTAGCATGGGTAACCACTGTTTGATCTGGGCTCTGTGTAGTTCAAATATTTACATATGTAGATGACAGATGTTCATTTACACATTAATTTGGTGTTTTGTGTTTTTTCTGCTCTGATTTTCCTTCTGTTTCTTCCAGGCCTTGGGATGGTCACGCCCATCAATGACCTACAAGCGGTAGAATCCTCTTCATTCGTGAAAGGGGAGAAACAGACCCGATGTAAGCTGGCCAGCTTGTACAGGCTTGTCGACCTCTTCAGCTGGGCACACTTTGCCAGCTCCTACATTACAGTACGTACAGCCGTTACTCCACGCTGGCCTGACACTCATTGGCTAGCTCTGGGATTTGGAAAGAGGACAGTGAATGTGGTAATTCAGGAATGATTCCCTGGAGCTTTCTGTGGTACATGTACAATAGTTTGACAACTTCCATGAGGTTCTCTGCCTGGTAAAAAGAAGAGCTTCACTAATTTTCTAGTGACTACCTGCATTGTAAGATCAGCTGCTCAAACCTGGAATTGGGCTCTAAAAGCCTAGATAAGATAATGTTCTGTCTGTCTTTCTTACTGAACCCTGTTGAAAATTGCTCAAGCGATTTTTTTATCCATTCTAATGTAGGCTCGGTTTTGAGACACATTTAAGTCAAATGAAGAACATGAAAATGGCGTTATATTATGTATATGCATAGATTTCTAAAGGTATACAGTTTGTTATTTTAAAACGGTCTTCTGTTAAGTCCATTTGTTTTTTTAGGTTATGTGTGCAATAGCAGAGTTGCAGTTTGCTTTTAATTATTGTCCATACTTGTGGATTTGTTTAAAATATTACCATCTACAGTGATGTCGTGAATAATTGCAGCAGAGAGCTGGTTTAGAGTTCTGTGGGAACAAATGTAAACTATTCTCTGAACATTTTGCAGTCTAACCTTACCATGTTCATGCAACCACAATGCTCCTTAAGGATTCTTATGACATTTTAAGGGTGTGTCATCTACAGTAACTGTATGTTTCCTTGAATAGATCTTCTATCAATGGGGCACTGTATATACAAACGTGTTTTCCTTCCTGGTACATCTGGTTCGTTGTTAGTCATTTCCATTATTTTTGTTTAACAGCCATTGTTTTTACTAACTCTTTAAACAACTTTTTAAGATATATTAAGATTTTTCTTAGTCTCAAGGGTGGCCACATTTTACTGTGGCTTAACTTTTATGTTTTAGCAGATTTGCTGTTTCAAGTAAGCTTATCTTAGGATTTTCACATATAAAAAACAAACATGTGATTGTTGTTTGTTAAAAACAATGTATCCTGTATCCATTGCACCAAAATATGTTTTTCTCTTGGTCTCTCTCAGGTTCGGGTCAGCAAAGAACAAGACCATATTCTTATTATTCCCAGGGGCTTGTCTTTTGCTGAAACCACAGCCTCAAACTTGGTAAGTACAGTAATTATTGGCTAATTGTGACCTGGTTTTATATAGCCCTTTGCTTAAAAGATTGCATCAGAATAATCAGGTTGTCTTAATACAGATGATAGTCATATTTGAACTGCATAAAGCTAAGATCAGATCTGTTATCCTGTTCTATGCAAGTTAAGTTTCAGTTTCAACTTTCAAAGTTTCAAATGTACCTGTTTTTGGAGTAGTCTTGAGCAGTGGCAAAATACGAATGGGGTTAATAGTGTGTTGACATTCATTGTTCTGTATGTGGAAAGTGTACATACACTGGTTTGTAGATAATATTTTTAATCCTGCTGTGCAAAATCAAAATCCAGTTATGGCTGGGAATCTGTGTTATACAGTAGGTGAGTGTTACTTAGTGGCCAATCAAAATAGTCATAGTGTGGATCTGTTTGCTGACCAGCATGAGCAAGTTGATGTGTGATGTAGATTGTAAAAATTTATCTTTCAGTGTCCATTGATGTAATGGTGAAATACAAGACAAATGAATTCTATATTAAGAAAATTGAGCCTGATCAGGTTATCAGTGTGAAAATTATGTATATCAGCTTCCAATAACATAAAGGGTTTGGCTACCATGACAGAGATACCTCTTAACTTACTCATTCCTGGCAGTACTTTACCACACCTGCTGAAAGCTGTGCCAGAGACTCTTGAGTGTTTGCGTTCCAGTTAATCAGCAGTTTAGCTTAACACATGAAGCACTATTAGATTAAAAGAAATCCAATGTGTTGACAAATTGTGCTTTTTTGAAGTCCTGCAGCTTTTGTCTTAGAATGGGGAAATGTTTTTGAAAAGTGTCCACAGAGATCAGAAATGGTCAGTACCATTCAATCTTCTTCAACATAGTACTAAGCAGAGTTTTTCTGCTTTCTTAATGCATGAAATGAATTTAACTTCTGGAAGCCATTTGAGTTTGTTTACCATTTGAAACTTTTTTACAGACTCCTAACCCTCACATCTGTGGTACTTAGTGAACAGGAACACATGTGGAACACAGGCACTGTGCATGCAATATAGTGCAGTGGAGGTTTAATCTTGCAGTATTTGCAGTAGGTGTTCTAATATTAACTCAGCTATGAGGCTGATAGGTGCCTTTGGTTTCACTTGAAAAGAATGAGACTAAGTAGATGCTAATTCAGCCAGAGGCATTCAGTCACTTTAGACAGTGTCTTAGTGCTGTTTAAAAGACAGATGCAATGGTCTTTGACATTGGGGTTTAGTTAATTAACTCAGTTTACAGACTTTGACAGGGAAAGGACTCCATTATGTGTGTAAACTGTGTACCTGTGAACGCTGCAAATGAACCAGTGTTCGGCAATACGTTTTATTTTACTTTTCGTTTTTGCAGCCTGATTAGTAGAAATCCCTGCTGGCCACTTCTATGTTTTTTATGAAAGCAGATGTTAGCACCCTATTTCACAAGGCTACATTCCTCTAACTACAAAAATATATGAACACGGATTAAATCGGAAATTATTTTTTGTATATATTTTGAAGAAAAGTTAAAATAGATTCCCAGTTCTCCATCTGCTGGAAAAGAGTCATTTCCAGAGGCTGTCTCATTGACTAGGGGAACTCATCACTGCTTGTGAAGCATTAAGGTTGTTCCTTTATTTTTTATATGCTTGACGTTTGCATGTGTGTAATATGATGTTTAATTAAATTAGCAGTACATTATATAATCAGGATCTGCTATCTTTTCCTACCATAGTGGGGAAACTGTATGTATAATATAGTCACAATTTTCTGTTCATACTCCAAGAGAAAATCTGTGATGTTTGTTGGGCAGTGACCATTTAATTGTGTTAGTAAACTAGAGTAATATATTGAATACAATTTGACAACAAGGAAAAGAGACCAGGAACGTATTATTATTATTATTATTATTAGGATTAGGATTTAATTTCCATTCCATTTCATGTTCCTGTTCATGCAAATAATTTTATTGCATCCTAATGTTGTGGTATGATTTGGTACAGTTTTCCATTATTCTGGATTGTTCCTCTAAAGCTTTTTAATTTTTTCGTTAAAAGATTCTTGACAGTCAGCCACATAGTGTTTGAATTCTTGGGTAAAGACACTTATTTGAGCCACAACAGTCCATTGATCCAGAGTTTATCCTGGTTACCATGGCACTAAGCAAATAATGAGCACGTGACTGCTGCCTGGATGGGACCTTGGTTCGTCCCTGAGCCTATTCCCAGCAAACACTGGTCCCCATTTATACAGCTGGGTGAGCTGGAGGAGCTGGGGTAAAGCAACTTCCTCAAGCCACACCAAGTGTCTGTAGAGAGAATATGAATTCACACCACTTACCTATTATGCTACACTACCCTCCATCTTCTTTTACCTGGAGGATAACCACTTGTAGATGAATCGAAGTCATTCTCAATTCAGACTAAGGACAATTTGTAATATTTGAACCTTTGGGTGGGCAGAATACGCCTTTCTCAGGGTCTTGCTTCTTTTTTAGTTTCACTTACTTTTAAAACTAGCCCTTAAATTTCATCTGAAAAAAGAAAGTTGAAGCACGAGGCCCCAGAGCTGGAGACATTCCACATGAAGATCAATGTAGAATGGCTTTCATATGTCAGACAAATTGTCAGAGTTCCATTTCACTCCCCTCCCAAAAATATAAAAATAAAGTAGTTTCTCAGGTTTCATTTTAACTTTCCTTCGTACTTCTAGTATATTTAGCTAGCCTGCAGAGTTTGTTGTAACCTGTCATTATAAAACCCCACATTAGGAAATGACTTCATTGGAGTGGTTTGGAGTAGATTGTGCAGTAATCAATACCAGCTGTATTGACGGTGTAACAGTCATAAAAACATGGCGACCATTTCTGTTAGACAGTTGACCATAACTAAAAGAAACGCAGGTTGTGATTTAGTGGCTTTTTGAGCCAGTATTTATTAACATTGGCATTAGTGTCTAGTAGCTTCTAATAATATGTGTGCTATGTTAAAGCTTTAGGAGCTAAATGAACTGGAGAAATCAGTTCAGGAGCCCCTTACGATGTAAATCACCAGGAAGATTAAAAAGGTGCACCCCCTTCTAAAGACACCTGCTGCCATAAAGATTATAATAATACCGTTGCTGTCATCATTGAAAAATAATTTGCCAACTGCTGTCCATTGCTACATTTGTCCTTGCCTCGTCTCCAGGTGAAAGTGGGCATCATATAAAGAAACCGTTTCCATTCATGTCATGTTCTGTGCTGAGGGTCTTTTGCAGTGTTAAAATGCACACAGCAGTATCCCTGTGTGTTTGGTTAAATCCTTAAGAAAGGTTAATGTTGGAACTTGGTATGTTTGCTGACCCACCTCCCTGGTTTCACCATGGTTATACCATGCATTTGCTTTGCTTTACTATGGTTTGGGATGTTTTGTATCAGGTGTCAGACAAGCATTGGTTTCTATATTGATGGGTGACACAGCCCAGCCCCAATAACAACACCCCCTGGTGAGATGGATGGAGTTACACAAGAATCACTAGAAAGTCAAGGGCAATTAGATCGTAAATAAAAGACAGTTATGTCTGCTGGACAAAAGCTTTGATTAAATTATACTTTCCTTTTTCCCAATGTATTTTTTCCATTCTACACTATTAAATTATGAAATCCTGGTTTTGGTCATATCTAAAATGTATAAAATTTCAGGTTTCGTGGTTGAATATGACAGGGTATTAATAAAAAGAGTTTGTTCTTAAAGTACAATAATAGCTGGTCAAGAATAATTGACACTCTGTTTTGAAGATCTCTTCCAGGGGAAGGTAGATTAACTTCAACGTTTGGCTTTGCACAGACCTTTAACATTGTATGTCCAGCACAGCACATGGAAGCTTGCCATTTTTATTACACTGTGTAACTTATCACAGCATCTAGCTTAATTTTGGAAGGCTTACAGTATGCATATCCATCTCCACAATATAATTTGATCATTTATTCCATGTATTTACAATACACTATATAATTGTGCTCACAGTGTTGGCACATTCTATTAAAATACATCTGCGCTGGAAGGAAATAGCCTGATGTTTTCACTGTTAATTCCGTTTGAAAAGGTTCGGAGTTTGTTTTCTCACTGTGCAGAGACCATTGCCACATGTGTCCTTGCTTCATCTCCAGGTGAAAGTGAACATCATCGGGGAGGTTGTAGACCAGGGCACCACCAACCTGAGCATTGACCATGCTGGCTTTAGTCCACATGCAGCTATCTACTCCATGCGACCGGACGCCAGATGTATTATTCACATCCACACACCTGCAGCTGCTGCCGTGAGTCTCCAATGTACTCAACACTGAACCGGACAGCCATGTCTGTTTCAGGAAGAGAAGGGTTTGTTAAGGCAGCTTCACAGAATGCCTTGACATTGTAAATGGTTAGCAGTAGGGGAAAAAAAATAAGCTGTGCTCTTATATCATTTCAGGACTAGCTACACTAGGCTCTAACAAAAATGCCATGTTCAGTGTTATCAGTTATATTGTAAGCATTCTTGCATCTGATTTTTCAGCTTTTTGAAACAATTTTTTAAGTGGGAATGTAGTTCTAGAACTTAAATTCAATGCATATTTTTATGGTAACAATTGTATTGACTAATACCAAATCCAGTAGATGATTGGTATTTTATAATATAACCATCTAAGTGTTTTATAATCCCCCTTGTGCTGTAATCTAAACAATCAAACCACAATTCCCATGCCTAGATTCTTCTGCTTTCAGAAGCCCCCCTATCTCTCAGTATGCCTGGACATATAACACCTCTCTCTGTATCCAAAAATGCAGGTCTCCTCTATGAAATGTGGAATTCTCCCCATCTCTCAAGAGGCCCTGATTCTCGGAGATATTGCCTATTACAATTACCAGGGGTCTCTTGATGATCAGGAAGAAAGGATTGAGCTCCAGAAAGCCCTTGGTCCTTCAACCAAGGTAGCATTCATTCCTTTTTTTTTAAGTAGCAGTGTCTGGTTCATCACATTGCGTTAACACATCTTTTTTGTTGTCTGTCCATTTTCAATAACTAGTCGAATTCAGTACATGGTCACGGTGATCCTAAGCCTTATCTGGAAGACAGTATTATAAATGTCTGAGAAATTGTGATGTATTATTTCAAATTATTTTGGAGACCATTTCCAGTAGTATATATTTTTATTATTCAAAAAAAAAGTGAAATAAGAACATTTTGAATATGGGCAAAAGGGAGCCTTTTTTTGTCCATTATTCCATATGACAGAAGATATCTGAGCAGAAATAGTCTTGTACCAATTCCATGGTGGGTTTAAAAAAAGAATGTTGATTCATCTTTGTTTGGCACAAGCCATTAGCCAAAGATGGAAGCACTTCCCTTTCAATTTTTCAGATTATTCAATTAAGTTTAATAAAGAAGGCATGAAGACTTCATTCTCATATGTACTATAAAAGACTCTTCTGTTCTTGAAAATCGATTTTCTAGGTTCTAGTCCTGAGAAACCATGGTGTTGTGGCTCTTGGGGAAACGATAGAAGAGGCCTTTCATTACATTTACTGTGCCCAGCTGGCATGCGAAATCCAGGTAAGATTTCAGCTTGTTGCGACAGACCTGAAGTTGTTTGAAGTATTTGATACTGAAGTGGCCCGGAGACCAGTGGAATTTGATATTTGCACTTCCTTGTCAGTGGATCACAATGACAAACCGTAATCCGACGGGCCAGTCCATCTCAGGAGAAGGGGGCTGTACTGTATGTCTTAAGTGAACAGCATGTTCTTAGACTGGGGAGGAAATAACAGTGCCCATGGAGTGTACCCACTCATACAAAAAGGAATGTGCAGTCTCCACACATAAGGTTATCCAGATTGAAATTGTAGCACTGACCACAATCCTACTTTTCACCCATTATTTATATTAAAAATGTTCTTATGCAGAATTGATCAAATATCGCACATTGTTTTTTTTTTAATATTCTGTATAAAAAAAGTGCAGAAGGAGTTGGCTATACAGTATATTTCAAACCATGAGGTCAGATGTGTTACAGAAAGGGTCTTTTTAATTTGCAGTGGCAAATATTAGACTTAAAAGTACAATTTAGCAAAAGTTAATTCATTAAGAACACATGAGCAAAATATCTGCTGTTAAAAAATAACTGTTTGATCTTAGAAAATATTTCAAAAGTGTTTCCTGTCAAGTTTGTACTTCAAACCATGTCCCACCAGAATTCGAACAGTGATCTGCTAAGCATCTGTTTAAACAAATTGTAACCAAAGACTTGAAAGTCTAGAATAACATTCCCAATGGCACAGGTCAGAACACTTTGTACCAGCACATTATTTTTTCACCCGGGGGTAGTTCTGTGTCAAGTACATTGCTTGTGGGGTTTGCAATGAAGGACGGAAGGTGAAAATGTCTGGATGTTGTTAGTCTTGCTCAGTGGTTCCATCTGGGTCAGCATGTTTGGGTTTTCACTTCAGTCCTAACTGAACAATACAGATGGTTTTTTTTTGTTTGTTTGTTTTCAAATATTGTTTTTTTTTCCGATATTTCATTTAGTCGTGCCCTAGTTTTCCAGCGCTAACTTGGGTGTATAGCCATCAGTCCTAAATTGCCAACCCAGTATTCGGTGGCCAGTTCTAAACAAAAGCAATCCACAAAGTCTGACTTTGTAGTTTGTAGTGTGCGGGTGAGGCAAAATCTTGATGTAGCCATAGTCCAACACATTTGGTAATGTTCGAGGTGCTCTTTTTGAAACCATTGCACATTCAAAAAAAACATCTTCTCGCCAGAGGCTTTGCATGCAATGCCACTTGTTTTAACAGTGTTTTGGTGGGATATCATAAATCACTTTTAATAACTTGCTTTGCTGGGACTCAGAGCTCCGTACATCTGGGATTGGAGTGAATAATTGTTTTGCTTGTGAATACGGTGGGAATGGGCAACAAGTGGGTGCAGTCATTTAATAAGCATAAAACAATCCATGTCTGAATCTGTGCCAGGAGAAGGAAAAAAACAATAATCCACTCAAAGCCTATTTAATTTCTAAAAATAAACTTAACAGTGTTGTTTCACTATGGCAAACTGACCCACGGTCGAGATGATATTCAATGCCATCAGGTCTTTCTTTTTGGGTGTTTTTTAGGTAAATGCGCTGTCATGTGCAGGCGGAGTAGACAACCTGATAGTGCTTGACCTGGAGAAGTACAAGCCCGTGACACAAGGGGTGGCGGTGGCCGGCGTGAACATGGGTTCTCAGATTAAATGGAAATTGGGTGAACTGGAGTTTGAGTCCCTCATGAGGATGTTGGACAATCTTGTAAGTAACTCAACCGCTGATCTTAATGTGCCAGGAGCTGAAGGAAATGGAACCTGAAAAGCCTGAATCGGTACCCCTGCAAACTGATGGATGGATGTTTGCACATTATGCTGCCCCTACTTCTGACATGTAGGGGCAGCAACATCCTGTTGTTGTTTCTGTAACATTTTCTTTTGCAGGACAGGGTTGTTAGTCTTGTGCCCAGCCTCCAACTTTGGGAACCTGGCCCCTGACGTGGGACACAAACCCACTACCCTGAGATTGAGTCACATGCTCTACCAACAGAGCTTGTCTGCCCCCGCCCCCCAGTTTGAGCATTCATTTTATACGGGGCACTGTTTGGCACACTTGTGGAATGATTACGAACATGCTCTTGTCAGACAAATTGATTTTCAGAACCGATGGAGAAAAGTCTGTGTGTTTGCAGGCAAGCATTCGTGTCCTGACTGGTGGTGGTTACAGATGTGGACTAGGACAGGCACCATCCTCCCCAAGCCATGTTCCTCTTTCCAAGAATTCCCTTTCTGCCAGCTAGTAAAGGCACCTCGTGTAGAAAAAAAGTTTACATGGAGTGAGCAGTGTTGATTACTGCTCTCAAGCAATATGTGTCACACTTAGTTTAGCATTTATTTACTGCACTGGGGCTACTTTTGCATTTTCAGGCTAGCCAGCTGGTGCGCATGATTGAGTTTGTGTGTTTAAGCCTGTTGGTAGAAGCTTTTACACAGGGCTGCAGGCAGACACTTTTGTCAGCGGAGAACAAACATTTGAAAGCACAAGCATCTTGGCCTACAGTGTAGGGTGGATTTGTTGACACCACCGTGTGAGGCCTCAGCCTCTTTCTAGGTTATATAACTAAGTTATATCATCTGCTCTTCACTAGAGGTCAGGGTACTATTATTGGCTCTACATCTGGTGCCTTTCTGGCTTTCAGCGCAGTTTCCTGATACTCTGGTGTTCGTCTCGGCATTCAGAATTTTCTGGCTAACCAGTTGGCTTTCATTTAAGACGTCTTGTAGGGAATTGAATCTGCGGTTGTGATTTTTTTTGCTTCTTTTCTGTTGATTTCGACTTGCCACAGTTTTGCGTTTGACAGCAACTGTTTAATCAGCTCCAACAGACTGGAGAAGTAATAGCATGTGTTTAGTTAGTGGTACAGGTGTCTTGTCTATTTTTAGCCTGTAAAACACAGGCCTCCTGCAGGCCGCTATTTAGTGCACAATGCGGTCCATGAATGCCATATGCGTTTCATGTTTTTTATTATTGTGAAATTCTCAGGAAGCAATCATCAAGACAGTGTTTTGTTGTGGGAATTTGTATGCAATTTGTGTATATAATTTCTGCAAAAAAAACCCTGTGAAATCAATACCATAGGTATGGGACATCTTTGTTTTTAACACCTGCCTGAGACAGGCGTGGAGTCTTGAGTCTCTGAAAATACTGGAATGATTGCACAGTGAAGGAAAGAAAGTTCAGTTTCAACAGTAACAAGGATCTGAAAATGTGAAGTCTTTATTGCTTATCCCACCTTATTAACCAATTCATTTCTTTAGCAAGATGAGGATTTCTTCACTTCCTTTACTAATCTTCATTATTCCTTTGCTACTTTAGAAAGGGTGTAATTGTTAATAATGGAACCTACTATTTCATTGGTGTAACTGGAAAAAAATTCAAAGGATTTTTAGACCATTCCACCATATAATGTGTTTGACAAAAAGAGAATTTTATGGAGGTATTTTTTACAGGATTTATTTTTATTCCTGATTGAGCAGTTAGAAAACTGTTTTTCAGCCTGAGGCAAGGCTGAGGCAACTGTTCCAGGCTGAGGCAAGGCTACTACAGCAGGAGCAAAATCTGCTTCCAGGCGGTCTTCCTTAGGTTTCCTAGACAGGAACAAAATAGTGGGATTAAAAGCATACTATTCCAGTGGGATACTCTTGGTATAACACTCTTAAAATTATTTCTCATTCAGGTGTTGTAAGGACTGCCAAGATTGATGTATGTATTCTTTAGTAGTGGTCTTTGTCAACAAAACATGAAAGCTTCTTAGGCTTTATAAATTAATGGAATAATGGTACTCGTATTACTGAAGCACTTTATCAAATGCCTGAATTAACTATATAGCATGCTTTGCCAAATCCCACAACCGACACATCATTCAGTTTCCTGAGAAGGCCTGAGTGAAATAACTTTAGGATATGGAAATTGCATTCACTCTTTCAGACTGAAAGACGTTTATTTGGAAAACTGTCTTGAGAATTGTTGTTAAGGCTTTGGTCAGAGCCACCGAGAAAAGCAGGTGTTCATCCTCAGATTACGGAGTTTCTGCCATTACTGCACATTTAATACTGCCCACATTCATATGCAAGTGAAGTGAATACTGAGTGGATTCAGATGTACTGGAAGTCTGCATATCTTTAAGAAACTTTTTTTACATTTCCACTCACTCTAAACCTGATGAGTTTTGTTATACACTACTACTCATATATATATATATCATGAATGTGTGGTAATGCCACTTGAGTCTGCTTTTGGTTAAACGCAAAGGTTTTGTTTTTGGTTTTGTGTTAAAAACCAAAGCTCATGTTTAATATGTAATGTGTAAGAGAATATCAAATCTTCTTTAAGAATATCTTTGTAATGCTTTACTCTGGCTTCACTTTATTAATGTATGATTTGTGCCAAAACGTAAACCTTTGTGAATATGAGCTCAAATTAAATGTTGAATTTACTTAATGGGTTTTACGGAGCTATGTATTCTACATAAACAACAACAATTTTGGTGAATTTTCTACTCTCAGAAATCACACAATATCTCTGTATGCTTCTCAATAATGTTTATCAAGGACAATACACTCATGTCTCTCCTATTTGCTGATTCAGAATCCCATAAGCCCAAATTATTATTATAATAATTAATCATTGCTTACACTTATAAAGCGCTTTTCTGGGCACTCTACTAAAAGTGTTTAATGGGGACTCCCCTCCACCACCACCAATATGCAGCATCCACCTGGATGATGGAGGATCATTCATAAAACCTGGCTCTTGTTCAAACCTATATTCTCTGTCTTTGGTGCGGTTTTTTTTTAAATTAATATAGTTAAACAGTAATCTTACTTTGACGAATATTATTAAATAAAAAATATTGTTATAATAATGCTAAATAAGCAATAATATTTTTGTTACAGTGATATTAGGAAATATTGTTTTCTACTAAAGCTTTTCTAAGTGACAATAATAATGAAATTTTCTTTTATGTCATGCACAGCTCCATGCTCTTAAAATGTTTTCTGTTCTGTTGTTTCTGCAAACAAAGCTTTATATTTTCAGTACACCTCAAGGAAGTAGCTCCCAACACCAAACAAACCAGAAATGACGACACCGTTTTTTAACACCTTGCCTTTTCCCCATGGTTGCCAGGGCTACAGGACGGGCTATGCCTACAGGCACCCGATTGTCAGAGAGAAACCCCGACACAAGAGTGAAGTGGAGATCCCCGCCACGGTCACGGCATTCATGTTTGACGACGATGACGCCATGCTGCGCTCCCCTTTCAAATACCTGGCCCAGCGACAGCAGCGCGAGAAGACCAGGTGGCTGAACTCGCCCAACACCTACATGAAGGTGAACGTACCAGAGGCGTCGCAGAACGGAGAGAGCAGTCCCAGGACCAAGACGACGGTGAGTTGCTCACATCGTTTCCTATTGTGGTACACTTCTGCAGACCTAGTCATGAGAATTATTATGGGAAATATTGACACGGCTACCCTGAATGTCCAGCTGTGCCGATATCCTGAGGGCATTGCGAGCTCACCCCAGCTCAACAACTTGTTCTGCAGGGGGTTACTGTTGTGAAACTGGCCCTTTAAGGAGTTAACAAACATCAATTGTAGTTTCTAACTTATCCTGAAAATTTGCCTCTCTGTTTGGAAAGTAGCCAAAATGATTTGTTTGATTTTTTTACTTTTGATATTCCTGTTGGCATTTTAACTTCCTTTTCCCTCCCCATCCAAAAATGCTGTTGCTGTCTAGCCTGTTTGTCAGACCTACAGTGATGTGAAAAAGAAAGTATTCTTAAGATACTTAAGATTCTGTTGTTGTACATATTAAGACATTTCTGACCTTCACCTAGACCTCACCAAGTCCCAACAGTAGATAAATCTAACCTCTTGTGACAGATAACAATTTTTACTTTATTATTTATTAAAAACAAAAATCAGCTGACATTCAGAAGCCTTCTGTAAAAAGTACACTTTTACTTCTTCCACATACAGTAATTTAAGAATGTAATTAGAATCGAGTGCTGCTAAACATATGCACATGATAAGTTGATTATCAGTAAGTGCTTCCACCTGTATATAAAATCAGAAACTGTGTCTGTCTGGTCTGGGGTATTCAGATTTGTGGTGACACTTCATGTCTAGGTCAAAAGACGGTCTCAGAGAAAGAATCATTGCTGATCATCAGTTATAAATTCATTTCCAAACAATAAAAAAGCTATCATTCCACGGTGAGAAAAATGATTTACAAATAGAGAAATTCAAATTCGGCTGCCAATCTAACCAGGAGTGGGCGTACCAGCAAATTCACCACAAGATCAGACCATATGACGCTCCTAGAGATTGCAAAGCTACAGTGAAAAAGTAT